TCGGTGTCCTAGGATCCTACCCAGACCTGGTCCCCGCTGCGGACCCATCAGTGGGGATTACCCAGCTTCAGTGCTCCAGCTCTGCCTGATGTTTCTCCAGGTGCACATGCTGTTTCTTGCTTCCTGTGGGTGCTGTCACCAGGTGGCTGTCTGCCCTCGGCAGGTGGGGTGTGGGTGAGTGCCTGTGAGTCACGGCCTTGGCACGCCGGCAACCTTCCTAGCCTTCCACTTATGGGCACCAGCGGCCCCTGCATAAGTCATCGTTCCCCCCATCAGAGCCGGCTGGCTGTCGTGAGCCAAGCTGCTTATGATGGTGACATGCAGCCTCCACCCTGAGAGTGTCGGAGGCCTGGCCCAGACTGTACATGCTAATGGGGAGCTCTGCTGCCTCCGGCCCCAGAGTGCAGGAGAGTTCAGAGAGACAGAGGCTCCCTGAGAAGAACCTCAGCCTGCAAGTGACAGCAGGGCGAGGCGCCTGGTCTGGCCCCAGAACCAGCCTGGCTCACCCAGAGCACAGGACCTCATCACTTCTTGAGATGGGACAGATGCAGCTCCTGTGGGGAGACTGAATTTTCACACCCTCTGTTGAGGTGACTCCCTTGAGACCCACTGGCTCTCAGCACAGGGCGGGGGTCGTCCTCCCTGTGAGCTTTCCCTGAGACCAGGGGGGCTGGGTGCCCGCTAAACACTTGGTCTTTCTCCCATGAGGTTGTGGGCTCCTGAGTGTAGAGACCTGTGAATGTTGCCGCTTGCTCTCTGCTGCCTGGGACAGTGTGGGCCTCGCTGAAGCCCAGTTTTCTCATTAAGGACCTGCCTCCAGGTTGTTGTAGGGATTGGATCAAATAATTCAGGCGATGTCCTCATGCAGTGCTCTGGTCCCAGCATGGGGAAGGCTGCTGCGACAGCCTCTCATCCTGTCCCCATCTCCTCTGCATAGTGCCCAACCCTGTGAGGTACCAGGCAGGGGTGACTTACCTAGACATGCCCATTCAGCAGCCTCTTGAGCAAGAAGGACCAACTCTTGCCTTTCAGATGCAGACCAAGAGGCAGAAAGGCACGCGGCTTATTAGCAGCCTGTGCCCCTGCCCTGAGCTCCCCACCTGCGCTCCACTTTAACTCTGCTCTCGGGCTGCGGGTGTCCAGGCAGGTGTCAGAGGTGTGGCCCCCGCACACCGGGGACCCTACCCATCCTGTCTAGTTGGGAGGACTAGGAGTTCCAGGCATGGGCCCCGGGTTCCTGCTGCCCTCAGAACCAGGCCTGACCCTTTGCCGTGACCTCGAGGGCTGCCACTTCCAGAGTGCACTGGGCCCATCTCCACCCACAGACCACACTGAACCTCCAGTGCCAAGCTCTTCCCACCACAGGGCCTATGCCTGACATGTCCCTCTACAGAAATACCTGCTCCTGGCACGGCTGGCTTCTTGCCAATTCTAGATCTCCACCTCCCACCCCAGAGAGGCACTGGCTGCCCTGTTTAAAGTGGGTCCTCCCATCACCCGTCTTCACAGCAGACCGTTTACTTGGCTGTGTGCCCCTCCAGACCCACAGCCGTTACCTCCCCCTCCCCCATCCTCTCGCCCTCTTCCAAAGGCTGAGCACACAGGAGGGACCGGGAAATTTGTTGAACAGGGAAGTTACACATAAGCCCTGATCTGTCAGCAGGACTGTGAGATGAACAAAACGTTCTGGAAAGTGTGAGGGGCAGATGTGGAAGGAGTGAAATCTTCCCAGAGAGAACGTCTCTGGGTCAGCCTGCTCCTGCTGGGCTGGGAGGGCCGAACACACCCCACCCATCACCCCAGGCTGGCCCTGACCCCAGCCTTCCCTGTGCCCGCAGCACCGGCAGCTGCTGAAGGACAGCTTCATGGTGGAGCTGGTGGAGGGGGCCTGCAAGCTGCGCCATGTCTTCCTCTTCACCGACCTGCTTCTCTGCACCAAGCTCAAGAAACAGAGCGGAGGGTGAGTAATGATGTGGTCCCATCCCGGCGGCGACCCCGTCTGTGCTGACGCTTCAGGGCGTGGAGGGTCCGTCCTGGCGGAGGCCAGCAGTGATGTAGCTAGGTGCTCTTTTTACCTTCCGTTGCTACTTGGGCACAATGCCAGGCTCCAGGTTAAAGATTGTCACTAGCAGGAGACGTCATGGGGCATCCTGGGGACCAGCTTGGACTCCTGTAGCGAGGGGTAAACCCAACCATGACTTCCAGGAGCGTTGCAGAAAGGCCACCTCCGGACCGTTTGAGGTCAGGGCTGCGGGCAGTGCTGGGTGGTGGGTCTGAGCTATTCTCAGCGTAGCCCTGCACACACTCCCCTCCTCCCTCCGGGGATTGGGTTCACCCAGGTCGCACCAGGTTGGAGTGGAGCAAAGAAGGCCACAGCGGGAAGACCAGCACAGGCTCTTCCCCACATCCTGCCCTGCTGAGTGGGTTTAGTCAGTCAACTCAGAGGAGAGCCTTAGTTCCCCCATCTGTCAGGCGAGGGGATGACGCCAGCTTTATCTACAGTCGTTGAAACTCCTACAGCCCTGGGGGTGGACTTCAGTCCTGTCCTGTCATCGTGCAGCCTTGACGTGCTCCCACATGAGCCCTCCACCTTAGGGTCAGCATAGGATAAGATGCATCTAGACTCCTGAGATGCCTGGGGCCTGGGGTCACGTGTTCAGAGTGTCTGTTCCCAGGAATCACTGAGGCTGAGGCTGGGACCACCAGCGCCTGCCAGTGGCTTCACCCCAGTAGGTTACATGGAACACGGGCTGGGTTTAGGTCGGGTAAACCATGTGTGGTCAGGAACACGGCTCTTGGGTTCTTGACAGCAGTGACATCAGCCGTGGAAGGTAGTTGGTGCATGTCAGTGTTCTTCTCTCCCCATCCCCAGCAAAACCCAGCAGTACGACTGCAAATGGTACCTTCCGCTCACGGACCTCAGCTTCCAGATGGTGGACGAATCGGAGGCAGTGCCCAACATCCCCCTGGTGCCGGATGAGGAGCTGGACGCTCTGAAGATCAAGATCTCCCAGATCAAGAGTGACATTCAGAGAGAGAAGATGCATGGCAGGGGCAGGTGGGGGAAGCCAGGGCCGGGCTCTGTGTGGTCCTCTTATTGGGCAGCAGCCCCCACACACGGCCAGCGGGTGCTCTCTCTGTCAGGCCTCTGAGCCCCAGGTCTGGTCTCTGGGACATATATGAGCTCTCAGGTCTTGGAGGGCTGGGCATCTGGACACAGCTAGGTGCCCGATTATTCTGAGAACCCTCAGCTTAATGCGGAGCACCATACTAGAGGGGCTGCCAACCCAGCCTTCCAGAAAAACGGAGGGAACCGGTCGTGGCCTCTGCAGTGTGCCTTTCACGGGACACTTCTCATACCTGGTGGACGGCCGCGTGCTTAGTTATCTCATCTGTGACCAGGGGTCCCTCACGAGGGAAACGTGTTTACACTGGCAAGTTTGAACTGTGTCCAGTTTATGCCTGCCTGGCCATTGCTGTGGCACTGGGATCCCGATCTGTTTTCGCCGGCATCCCTGGGAAAACCTGACCTAGGAAAACACCGCCTCACTTTTCGGAAACACACCACCACCATGGGAAACTAGTTCCGAGATTTTTTTGCCTACAGGTTTTGGACAAGGAGGTGTCATGAGGAGGGAGGGCAGTTCTCTGTCCCTGGGTCACACGAGGCACAAGTGAAGAGTCAGAGAGATAGAGACAGCACGCATGACAGCTAACAGTGTTTCTAAGGAACAGGGTGTGGACACTTTAAGTTCACAGGCAAATGCCTGGATGGTCCTTCTAAGGAAGCAGCAGGAATGCAGGAGCTCAGTCAGCCAGGGGGGAGAGAGGCTTCTGGGTTCTCACCTCTGGCCACTGGCTTGAGTTCAAGTGTGTGGTCTCCTGATGCCCAGGCAGCGCCCTTTGCTGTGTGGTTCCATTTTGTGGGTGAAGTGCCAAGTCACTGGAGAAAGTCACAGCCAGACACTGGAGGGCTTGGAATGGTTCAGGATGCGGGGCCTAGGGGAGGGGCTGGTTGTCCCCTGCTCAGCTACCCTGAGGGGGTCCAGGCCCAGGTGGGGGTGCCACGCCTCCAGGTGTTTGGGACTACAGGCACTTAGTTTTCTCCAGAGATGTTTGAAGACTGTAAAAATGGTGAGGACGAGCCCCTCAATCTGGTTAGCTAGGCCAGAGGAGGTGGGTGGCAAAAAGGTTGGGCCCGGGCCCAGGGACGCCCAGGTAGGGTGGACACAGCGGGACCGGAGTCCTCAGCCCTTGTCCAGCTGCCCAGCCTGCTGCACCCAAACCCAGCACACTTAGGAGCACAGGGGAGCTTCAAGACTGGGGTGAACATTGTCTTGTTCATCCTTGTGGGACTGTGGCCTCCGTGGTGGGCTGTCCCCATGCAGAGTAGGGGCCAGTGCCGAACCCTGAGGGCAGCTGAGGCCTGTTGAGTGTGACTGCTGCACTCTCCATGTTCAGCTCTTTGGAGGATGGGAGGGGGCCCTATCTGGTGACAGGCAGCACATTTTCTCCCCAGGGATAGTGGCTTCTAGAGGGATCCACACAGTTCAACATAGGAAGGGCTCACCTGTCCAGGTTCTGTTGAGAGTCGTCTGCCCTTCTGCTGGGACCTCCACAAATATGCCCACTGGGCCCAATGTGGAAATCTAACTGGATTAGGAAGCGGGTGAGGGACCCTCTAGGTATCAACAGCCCCCTGGACATTGTCTGAATTGGGGAGAAAATGAAAGGCAGGGTTGTTTGTGAGTCTTTTCTCTCCACCCTTATGAGAGGAAAGACCTCGTTCCTCCAAGAAAGGCTCCAAGCATGTCCCGCAGCGTGTGCCGTGCCTTGACCCTGTAACAAGGCTGTCCTGTCCTTCAAAGGCCACCACCAGCAGCAGTCTGGGGCCCTGGGCTGTGCTGAGTGGAGACACGGGATTCTCGCCCTCTGCAGGCTGAACACCGCTGGTGGTGGGGGTGGATGGAGCGGGAGTGAGTTGTATGGGGCGCTGGAATGCGAAGGTGAGGTTGTGGCATCTCCCCACAGAGGGCGAACAAGGGCAGCAAGGCCACGGAGAGGCTGAAGAAGAAGCTGTCGGAGCAGGAGTCGCTGCTGCTGCTCATGTCTCCCAGCATGGCCTTCAGGGTGCACAGCCATAACGGCAAGGTGAGCCCCGCCACGCCGGCCCCTCCTGCTCTTCTGGCCTGGGATGGGCTCTTGACTGTCTCATGGCAGCGCATTTTCACTTGGATGCATCCCGCGCAAAGAGGCTTGTCCAGCATGGCGCATGCAAGCACGCTCGTTCCTTTTTCTGGGGTTTTGGGCCACAGCCCTCAGGTTGAGTGGCAGCTGGCTCAGCTTCCACAGCTGGGAGTGGGCTGGGTCTCCAAGGTGGGTATAGGACAGGGGTTCCTAGCAGGCTTGTGCAGACCTGGTCCTTGGTACAGGGATGCTGTCTCGGGGGCTTGAGGGCCAGAGATGCACCTTCTGTCCTGAGTCTGGCTCCTGGTGCCGTCTGTAGCCTGGGCCTTTCCTTCCAGGGGCATGACATGCACCTGTCAACATGCAGAATGGCCTGTTTTCTAGGCTGGCCAGGAGAGGCAGCTGGTGGACTCTGCAGAAGCCTTATCTCTGGGCTACTGTGGGGCTTGTGGGTTGAATGCAGGAGGTCAGGTCTAGATAAATCTTCACCTCTGCAGTTCCCACCTGGTCACCTCCATGTCCCTTAGCTGTGCCGCTCTGCTGGCATCACACCCTGACACGTACAGTTTGGGCAAGAGCTTGTGCCAGAGGTGCTGTGACACCCAGCTGGCAATAAAGGCAGGGAGTGCCAGAAGCGACATTCCGGGCTGTGAGCACACCTGGCCACTGGGCTCCAGCCAGCTGGAGGTGTGGGCTGCGTGCTCCAAGGTGCCCCAGGCCGGCCGGGCATTCGCAGAGCCAGGGTGGAGATAACTGGGTTTGTTCTTCTCGCCCACCCTAGAGTTACACGTTCCTGATCTCCTCTGACTATGAGCGTGCAGAGTGGTGGGAGAACATCCGGGAGCAGCAGAAGAAGTGTGAGTATCCTCTGTCCTGAGAGGGCTGGGCTTCGAAACACCAGGGCCAGGCTGGCAGCTCCTATGGTTTGAAAACCACACTGGAGAATTATCAGGAAAGTTGCAGTTTTCTTAGAAAGCGGTCCAGGCGTTGA